AGTATGAGGATGGCAATAGATACTATGACAAAGTGAATGGCAACTGGTCTGGCAGAGATTAGAGGAACCCCCGAGACTATAGCCCCCCGACCCCCTGCTAACTCAAAACTGAAGCGACTCCTGAAGTCCACCCTTCAGCCAAAGATTAGACAGGCCTGTAAAACAAATGATAACTCACATGAGGAATGTGCTTCTTAGTTCAATCAAGTATATGTGACCAAGTGGGTAACACTTGCCCAAAAGCAAAGGCGAGAATGTAGGAAGGGACAGGAAAGCTGGATGAAAGGACACAGGGAAGGGACAGGAAAACTGGATGAATGGACACCGGGAACCCGGGGTGGAAAGGAAAATGGGGATAGTGCTGACCCAATGTGGGGATTGCACCCAACATCACAAAACAATTTGAAAAAAAAAAAGTAAGTGGCAAAGTCCACGGCAAAAGTAACAGGATCTCAGAAAAATCCTTAGTGGTGGATATTTAAAATTATCAGGTAGAAGAGAGGGCAGGCAGTGTGTTGACTTTCTTGAAAGACTGTCACAAATCCCGAGGCAGGAGAAGCCTGTGGATGCACCTAGGCAAACAAACACTTCCCTCTGTTCATTAGGGAATTGAATGGCATCTAAGGAACCAAGAACTAGGCTGTAAGAAGGAGGCTTAATGAACACTAAGGAAAAAAGCCTTCATATTTCAAGCTGCAGTTCAAATACCAAATGAATAAAGATGCATGCCATACGAGGTGCATGGGCACGTTACTGTGTGTGTTTATGTGCATCTATGTAAGTATGTGTATATGCATGTACGTCTGTGTCTGTGTGTGTACATGCATGCATTTGTGCATGTACATGTGTGACTGTGTTTGAGTATGTGCTGGTGCGTGCATGTATGTCTGTGTATGTGCATATGTACACTCAGGCCCCACAGGCACAGTAACTGGATGCATCCTCAGACTGCAGGGGATCCTAGGCTGCTTTGTACCTAGCCTCTGCCACTTACCAGCTTTACGTCTTGAGCAGGCTACACTGTTTTCTCAGAATCCTGACTTTCTTATCAATAAAATAGCATGTGTGATACATTAAAATAAAAAGGTCAACTAGTGTTTTTAGTCACTTAGTCATTTAGTGATGAAACTGAATTGACTGCATTTATACAAAATTTGGGTATATTTTATTATAATACGTTCAAGATGATTTGCCTTCCAAATGTATAGATGATATCCAAATGTATAGATGACCTTATGAAAATATGTATTGCCTTAATTAATCCTTGGAGTCACTCTTCAAGTGAGGTGTAATTATCCCCACTGTACATATGAGACAGCTGAGATTTAGAGGTTAAGTTGCCCAGAGTCACCCAGGGAGTTTCTATAAAGGGCTGGGACACGAACAAGCATCTGTCTGAATCCAAAGTCAGGCTTGCAATCACTCTCTCTCGTCCACCTCGCCACGGCCTCAGGCTGCTCTGAAGAACAACAATATTGCGGTTGTGGAATTGGGATTGGCATCCTGGTTCTTCTTCCTCAGCTAATGCTTGCCCTCTTCCCTGAAATACCCGTTTTCCCCTTATATCCCAGTTGGCACAAGATTTCTTAAAGTCATCCCACCATTCTGCCCCCAGAGAGGCCCTAGGAAGAAGGAGGAGTTAAGGAAAACTCAAACTGAGCATACAGAGAATGCTGGCTTCATTTAGAAATGCGTGTGCTGACGTGTACCTGGTGGCCTAGGACTTGCCTTGGAATTTTCTCATAGCTACTTCCTGTTGCACACCACTGCTCTGGGTATTCAACCCAGGAAGCGACAGGATAGCCATTGGGACATTGCTGTTTAATCCCTTCCTAATCTCTGGAGTCTCCCAAGTCCTTCCACTCTTTAAATATGGACAGTAAGAACTTGGATCCCAGAAACATGATGGTCATAGAAGACTCAGGTACTGAGCTATGGAAGTCAGGAGAAGTGGGGGAACAAAGAGATTGCTAGGGGGTTAACTTGGAACAACGTTAAATATAACCAATGAGAAAGAGAAGCAGAATTCTATTTACAAAATCACCATTTTTGTTCTAGCAACAAGTATAGACTTAATTTTGCACAGAAAGTTGTATAGGAAAAAGCCTACCCCCAGCGCAGCCCTTTAAAAGTAATTTAATATTTTTAATAAGGCAAATCTTTCTGATTCTCAACTCTAGCCATGAAATCCTAAAATCTAATGCAAGTCTGTTTTCAATCAGGGCTGCTTTACAAATTTTATTGTTCGTTTAACAACCTAGGAACATTAACATCCTTTAACACTTAAATTTACTCATAATGACAAGTACTGAGCTTTCTAACTTCCCTTTGTGTAATTTAGTGCCTATAAAATATGGGTTTGCTTTTCTGATATTTTATGTCTCCAAATTGTAAATAAAGTCAATTCATCCAGCAGCCTACAAATTTCTAAGCAACTGTGTCTTATTCCCAAGCAGTCATTTGGAAACATAAAACACAATATATTGTGTGGCAAATAAGGGCGCTTGAGAGTTTTGCCTTTTATTCATTGCAGTTCTTCAAAGGATTATGGTTATAGGTGACAATCCCACTGCCACTCAATGGGACAGAGGAGGGGAGAAATTTTCTCACTTTTATATTTCTAAAAGGCAGTAGTAGATGGGACACTGGACTACTGTTTGGTAAATCAGAGCTTCTGAGCTATGCTCCAAAGCCAGGCAGCCTCACTGAGTCTCAGTTACCTCCTCGATAAGATAATAATAATAATAATTATAATTATACCTTCCTCATGGGATTTTGAGAGGATATAATTCATACAATAAATATGAAGGAGCCCCTGGGTAATGCAAGTTGTTTACGTGCTCAGCTGCCAACTGAAAGGTTGGAGGTTCAAGTCTACCCAGAGACACCTTGGAAGTAAGGCCTAGCTATGCATACTTCTCAAAAATCAGCCATTGGGAATGGTGAGCGGTGATGGTTAAACAACATGATGAATATCATTAATGTCACTAAACCGTACATGTGAAAACTGCAGAACTGGCAAATATTCTGTTACCTATATAATTATCAGAACAAAACAAAACAAAAACAGAAATAAAAAAACCTATGGTGCACACATCTGCTCTCACATGCATAGGGTCGCCATGAGTCAAAAATGACTCAGTGGTTACTGGTGGCATTTTTTAAATATATATAAAAGTGCAAGACAAAATTCATTCCTTTAGAGTACGAAGCATTAACATTTTTACAGCTGTTTCTCTGTATATCTGTCCTGAACAGGATGGATGATATGACTTTGGCCTTGTAACTACCTTTTTCCATTGCCATGGAGTGGTCATCAATTTTGGCCAGGGTCCTTAAGGGTTATAAAAATGTGTGAATGGACCCACACAAAACCACTCCACTTCTAGAAAAGCAAATTTGGCATTAACGTGTGTATCGACGGTGCCATCTTGGCCACCTTATCTATAATTGCAGCCCCTACACGTTTCCTGTCTGCCTCCACAGCTTGATTGTTCTCCATGATGGGGATCACCGGCATACGTACACTTAGAACACAAGCTCCATTTGGGCACCGCTATCTGTCTTTTGTACACTGTCATATCCGAGTACCAAGAACAATGACTGACACATAGAAAAATGAGCACGTGGTGACCACCGTGTGACCATTACGCAAACACTCATACATCTGCGGTCAGAGGAAGCCTGGCAACACCTAGGAAAGGTTCACTAAGGTTTATGTTGCCTTTACTGCTCAATTGGAATCTGTCAAAGCCCATAAAACAATTTGGAACATTTTTAATGTTTTCTACCATTGGAGCAGTTTCTTATTCGATCCACCTTTGGCCTTTTCATTTTTCCGTGAAGAGGGAGTATAGCTCACGCGTCAGATGCTAATCTTAGATTTATAGAAAAACATCAACCATATGAGGGAGTTTTCCCTTCCCTGTATGAGAATTCAGTGTAAATTCCAAACCCACTCTCCTAAGCAATTAGCCACCATTTAATGTTCATAAATTTCTGTTGTATACTCAATGACAAGAAACCAAAGCATGGATATAATCAGCACTAATAATAAGCAGACACACAATTTTTTACCACCCTCTGTTCCCACTGTACTTGGGAAATCTGTCAAATTATCCTAGGGCAGATTGGAAGGAGGGGGTTGTACTAGAAGTCATGGCCCAATTGCTAGTGATGCTGTTTCCATATTTTACAGTTTGGGAATCACTATTTAGAAAGCTCTAGCTTTGTTCATTAGCTGCAATAGGAGAGATGAGCCAGTGAGGAAAGTATGAGTGTAGATCGAGCAGAAGGCCCGGGAAAAAAAACCCATGTTAGTGTTGCTTTCATGAATCTTTGAGAAGGATTTTCTCTACCTTTATACAATCAATCACACAGAAAGTGGACAAGGTTTGACAATTCAGGAAAAGGACACTTTTTTCTATATTTAATTTCCCTGCGTCTCTGACTCTGAGAGTTTGAAAAATACTTCATTTTGTGAGATTTTCCTAAATAAAACCCTGTACTTTGCTCATAGAGGAATAAACAGAATGTGATTCTATATCCATCTCTAGAGCCAGTGCAAACACTAATTTGTTAAACGTTGTTGAAGAGAGTGTAAAATGATGCAGATGGTGGTGGTAATGTGTCTTAATGTCATCCTTTTCCACTTATGATTTTGCTCCTTCCTTTCTGACTTTCTCTTGGCCATCTTGTACTGCTTTCAGGGAATTTTCCAGACAAAGCTTTGTGAGTTAGAGACACAACAGGCTTTAAACGTATCTTGTCTGATTCCAGAAAGAAAGACTGCATCGATGGGGAAGAATGCCATGCTTGAAGACATTTAATAGTCTATATTAGACTCCAAAACGTGCATATGTGCTACAACTACCTTGCTTGTCTTTTAATTTTACCATGGAAGTCCTTTGGTGCTTTGCCACAGAACAAGTAGTCACAGTAGTAAAACTGAGCTCAGAATGGATCATTCTAATTTATAATATGCAGAGAAAGGCACTCACCAGCGCTGACAGTGATCGCTTCAATAAATTGCTCTCTCCAGCTGTTTGTCCCAACCACAAGGGCTAGGTTTGTCTTCTTAATGAGTTTGTCCACGGTACTCTAGAAAGGTTGAGAAGAATAAGATTATAACTGCTGGGTTTGTTAAGACCTTGGGAAATCTAAAACCTTGTTGATTTTGAAACCCCAGAGTTATATAAAAGATAGCAGATGTTAGGCTCAGAACAACAGTATTGACATCAAACATTGTTATGATTAAGCAAACAAGCACAGTCCTTTGTTGGCAACATTCTGAAATGGAAACTTCTCAGTAGCAAATATAAAGCCTTCTTCACTGCCTAATGGCCAATGAAGAATAGCCACAGTGTTTAGAATAGTGCATGTTGCAAAAGCCCATCCGTTCCCCTCGAACGCTTTGTGAACGTGCTTCTCTCCTGGCTTCATCTAGAGTGCGCTGTCTGCAACTGAATTAATACACGCCCTGCTCTGCATTACATATCTGTGAATAACCAGAAGTAGCAGGCAGGTTACAGAACCCAAAACTCTTACTATTGTACTCTTGTTTGTGAATGAAATGCAGTAAGACAGCAGATACTTCAGGTTGCTGTATGATCGTCAACAAATGGATTTTTCTTTGGCTACTAATTTTGTCAGCCTCGTGGCTGCTAGAGAATTCCATTCTCACCCTTCTTTTGTTGCAGACAAGAAAAGCCAAGACATGAAAGGTCAATTCTCATGGTTTAGAGCACATTGCACTGACTTTCCCCCCGTTTACTACTACTGCTTTGCATACCCCCTTATTTTCCTTTAGACCTTTTGAAGCACTTGGTTTTGTACAATTAGCACCCTCTAGCTTTCTAAATGTCACTTATGTGACAACAGGAGCAGCCAAACATTCACAAGAAACCTAAGGAAGCAGATGCACCCAAAGCACTACCATACATCACAGTGACCACAGGGCGAAGGGTCATTTCCAGGACATCAGGGCTGCCCTTTCCAGAGAAACTACCGCATCGACTAGTCTACCATACAACCACACTTACTGTCAGAGCATCCTTGAATTCCCACTCATTGCAAAGGGGCAGAAAACACGTATTATTTGTGTTAGGTGAGAATCCGTACATGGTTAGTGCAGTGTATCTGAATTGACTATGGTTTGAGAAATAGCATGTTATCAGCTAACTGAGGGTCAGAAAAGTGCAATTCTGGGGTCCTGAGTGAAAGGCCAAAGGAAAAACCATAATGCTCAATGTGTTAGTTCAAGGAAAGTCACGTGGACTGACTTGAAACAATGAGAAGATAATAAACATGCAAGGGCCCATCTCCAACTGATCTACTTTGTGTTTTCAAAAATCACTCTCTGCTAGATTACATGTCCTTAGGGTAGTGACCTTTCAGCCTCCAGCCTTGTGTCTATCACTGCAAGTGCCCCAATAACAGCTACAACAGACACTGCTCGTGGCCACCATAACTTGGAGCACATGACAAGCACCTGTCTTTTCTCTCTTGACTCAGCCACATCTTCTCAAGTCCTCTGGGCACCTTGGTTGATACCAGTTCAAAGTTCTGTGCAGAAGGTAACAAGAAATAATTCTGATTCTGCCAGATGAAATGGAAACTTGGAGCAGGACCCTCCAAAGAAGGCCTCTTTGTGCTGAAACCAAGGCAGGGCAGCCCATCACTTGAGGAATAAACAGTTGAGCAGATAAACAGCTCTAACAGTTGAACACAGATCTGCTAAAGAACAAGGTTTTAAGAGAAACGGAACTTACATGGGATAACATATGTATTACCCAGGGTAGATTTTAAACTTTAGTTCACATTAACCCTGGAGGACTATGGAATACCAGGGGTCTTCCTAGGACTTAATTTGCATATGTGCCCTTCCCTGATCTGTGGGAGGAGGGGGAGCTACTGAAGAAGACTTTGAATTCCAGGCACCTGAGCCTGGGCTTTGCCATCTACACTTAATCTTGAGGTATCATAAATGCCAGTGATCAGCTCTTCTCTTCGCTGCACTAGACTTGCAAAGCGATTCTTAGAACCTCGCCCTCAACAATAGGTGGTAGTAAAGGCATGTCCTTATTCACAACACGGTAAACAAGAACGCTGGGCAAAGCAGAGTGGGGCATTGGGAGGTGTCACTCAGATTTGGGTCTCTAATACAATTCTGGGAGCTTTGAACAAGTTTCATAAAATAGCTGTGTTCTAGAAAAATAAATTTCCTCAAAGAATGACAAAAAAATATGAAAATTGACACCTAAAGGCACATTAGACACATGCCCCAAAGGTGCTCTTTTTATGTTAAGGATAATTGTATTGATAGACGATGAGGAGATGAGAAGAAATGGTTCAAGGAAGCTTTTCTAGGAGGATACGTACCCCAAACAAGCTAGATTTAGGTAAAGAGACTGGGCAGACTTTCAAATGCTCAGCTCACTGGAGTGGTTGCTAGAGAGAGCTTTGGATTCAAGAAGGTTTTGCAGTCTGGAAGACGGTGCCCACCATAGCCAGTCCAACGCTTCCTAGAGGAAAGTTATCATGGTTGCTCTTCCTAGTCAGGAGTGCACGGAAGGGGTAAGTGGAGGTTGTTCCATAAGGGAGAGAACATACAATTCTTCATGAGATTCCAGGGTGGGGTAGGGTTCAATCTTGCTCCAGAAATGCCACCCCATGGAATCTCTGCTGGTGAGTGGTGCCAGGCCCACTGATTCCAGGTGAAAAGAGGGTGCATTGGGAAGAGTGAGGTCAGACACACCTGGACAAGAGATCTCCAAATTGGTCCCCAGAAGTGGACAGTCTGAGATTTCGGCACCTCTGGGATGACAGGGAATCTGTGCGTGTGCTACTCTCTCTGTGTGGAGCCAGTCCCTGTGTCAAACAACATGTGTGCTCTGACGGTTGGGGCCTCCTAGAGCCATTAGTCCTAGGGTTTACCCCTGATATGTCATTCTAGCAGGATGAGTGCCCGAAGAGTTAGATAGATCCTCAGTGGCGTGAAGGGAAAAGTTTAATTGCATTTTTATCTTTAAAAAATTCCACTGTAACTGCAAAGACATTTCTCTTTGCACCTGTCTCCTATCAGGCACCTCAATGTGTGAACTAAATTAAAAAAAAATAATTAATAGGCCCAGCCAAAGGAAAAGAGGCCACTACTAGATAAAATACTGAGGCTTCTTAGTTGGTGGCCTGATTCCCCTTTTGGAACCCTCATTCCAGTTTTTCAGACAGGAGCAGAGTCTGCTGATGAAAAATAGGCGAAGAAAATATTACTGTGCTCTGGGTTTGGAATTCTGGAAATCAAAAGAGGGGGAGCTTCTTCTTAGATCCTAGTGTAGAACTGAGTTGTGGCTCCATTTAGAGTCTTCTCAGATATTACCACTGTGTGGCGATAGGATGGAAGATGGGGTAGGGCCAGAGGGAGCAGCTAAGGATAGACAGAAAGTGTCACCTCAATGTCTTAAGCTCATCCCAGGCCCATTTGGTCAGTTTTGAAAAAACATCTTTACCATCAGAAGAATTGAGAATCCATCTTTATCAGCTCTATTATGAGTGGTAGGAACTGTACCTTCAGTTCAATGGCTATGCTAAAATGTCCTAAAATCCGAAGGAGATGACTAAATACAAATGAAAGCTCATCAACAGGATGTTCCATAGGGACATTAACTGCACCCCTACAAAACAAAAGCCTCTTAATTTTCAGCAGTGTGAATGTTTTGCTTCCGATAGATGTATTAGCTTTATTAGATACAGCTTGGTTTCTTCTGCTCTTGGAATTGCCTTTGGGGCACTTGTCTCTGTGCAGTAAATGATGCCACCTGCTAGGCCATTGTTCTGATGTTGTTTGGTTTAGAGATCCACTTGGTCCCTTACTAACTCCATTCTGAATCTGCTCTAAAGGCCTCTTAACTTATGAACCAGTTCCTGAGATTACATCTGCCTCTCTTTCCAGATGGCTCTTACAACACAGGCTAACACTATAGACAGGGTTGGTAGGCATACCTTGAACTCATAGGATTCTTCAATGATCACTTCCAGCCTGGTGTGCTCTCCCAGGATGGGGCGCCCCATTTCTGCAATACGCCTCTCTTCTTCCTCTTTGCTGGTCAACGGCTGCTTGTCATCACATTCCTCTGTGAAAGCGAAGGGCAAGAAAGTGAGCAATGTGCTCAGTTTTATTGGGTAATCCCTGGATCCTGCTACAAGAAAGCCATGGAGAGAGGAAGCCCTAATGACCTACTTAGAGTCCCTTGGGTGCGATCGTATGTCTGGAGGGGAGGATTGGGCAGAAGCTTAGCATGTCTGGCAGCACATCACTGTCACAGCAGGTGGTTATAATGTCCCCAAACCTAAGCTGATGGCTCATGCCAAAGTGTAGTTCGGGAAAGACAACTTCGAAGGGGCTGTCACCAAGAAAGACGCTGCCTACACGCTGTCTGAGTGGAGGGATGCACCCAGCTGTTCCCTGCGACTCTGGCTCAGCTGGCCGTTTGTACACATTCCTTCAGCACATGAGCAAAGACAAACAATTAAAAGTGCTAGACTGTCCCTGAGGGATAGAGGAGATCCTGCCTGCTCCTCTCCCCTTTCTAGAGGCACAGAAATGCCCCAGAACCACAGGGAAAGTGGAAGGCAAATTCTGATTTTAGCCTCTCATTTACCAAGAGCCCCTGTTGCAAGTTAAGCAGCAAAACAGCTATTCCACGTTTTGGTGAGATGCCTGGGCTCCAGTGCTTCCTCTCTCTGGGGCAAAGCTGAGAAGTGTGAGGAAGACCTTGACAATGTTAATCTTAAAGTAAACAGGGAGGGAGAGAGGGAGGCCTTTGGGGAGTGAATAGTGACTCACCATGTGAGCATGATTATTTCTACAAGTGCCATGTAGCATTCACTGCAGGAGAGGCTAGTGGGTACTGAGAAAATGTTAATAGACCCAAGAGTCCTTTAATGAGGGGAAGCTCACAGTTGGCTCCTCTCTACATTAAGGTCATTAGGATTTATCCTAGTCTGAAAAGGCCATGCACTTGTGAAGGACAAACACTAGGCCTGTAATCACTCAGCCCCCTTATCCCTCAGGTCCAGGATGCTGCAGCAAGAGAGGCCACTTCCTTTTGGAGTTAAGCTGAGCAACCAACATCCCCAAGGAGGAAGTGTCTGCCCTACAGAAAGATGTCAGCCCTGATGCCTTCACTTCTAGGACTTCTAGGAAAATGGCTTGAAACAGAACTGTTGACTGAGAAGACATCAAAAGAGAGGGACTTCTAGCCCAGGCTTACACACATGAGCATCTTGACTTTTGCATTTAGGAATCAGTTTCCCTAAGAGTCCACACCTCTCATTCCCTTTAAAGACTCACGGCTTCCCTTCTGCCAGGGGGCCCTGCTGTGGTGGCTCTATTGGCAGCTCTAGCCATTGTTGCAGAGAATGTTTCCTGGGCCAGATGTTCACTGCTGGGCTGGGAGCATCTTGTAAATCAAGTGTCAAAACCAACCGAAGGCAAAAGCACAATGTAGCATATCAACTAATCCTTTAGAACGTATTCAAGAGTGTCTTCCCAGAAGGATATTTGCAAATCTGCTTTCCTATCCCCAGGGATCACAAGGTACCAAGAAATTCGATGAAGACTAAAACGAAGTGAAGCTAGACTGGCAAGAAGCTGCTGAATGCTAGCAGAGGCAAAAGAAAAGGGCAAGGTAATGAATTTTAGCAAGAGAAGTCATTTTTTATAGTAGGCTTGGGGAGTTATGACTCAAGGGAAGGCAAACGTTTCTGATTAGAGTCCCAAAGATTGGTCCTCTCAAAATTATGTGTGTTGAGCCATGAAGCAGGGTCGAGATAACATGAAGTCCAATTCACGAAGCTCTCAAATCAATCATATTTTGATTCTCACCAAATGCTCATACTTGGACCCAGAATAACATTTTCGGTAGATTTCATTGTGTCTTTGAGATTCATGTTCAATAAGAATTATTTTCCCAGGATAAGAAATATCGTCACTTGGGCTGTTATTTGAATTGCAAACAGAGAACTCCATAGGGAGAGGGTATTTATTATGGCTCCGTTTTCTGTAGTTTCACTTAAACATGGCAAGTTACTTTGAACAGATCTCAAGGTAATTTAGGCAGAAAATATAGAGAAACGACAAAATAAGGGCAAAATGGTGGCACTGTTTAATGGAGCAATTTACAAAATGACATGATTTAGAACATGATATTAAATAAACGAACATGGTAGTAAAGGAAATCAAATCTCACAGTGAGTGAAAATGTTATTCCCTGTTCAATCATTCTTCAGTTCTTCTGATCAAGAGGAAATGCTTAGTTTGGTGCTGCTATGTCTGTAACTAGTTTCCAAAGTTTGAGTTTCTACCATTTTAAGAAAGAGAAAATAGATCTCCGTGCTAGAACACTTGTCAGTATCCAGCTAGAATTTAATAACTTTTTTTTATTGTACATTTTTTAATCTTACTTTCTATTTATGACAAACGATATGAGTTTTTCATTCGAATCAGTGGTTTAAAATGTCCTTTTTAAAATAAATTCAGTGAACTAAAAAAAGAAGCAATTTCTAAAAATTACTTTCAGTATATATTAAAAAAAAACACCCAAAACCTATGCCATCGAGTCGATTCCGACTCATAGTGACCCTACAGGACAGAGTAGAACTGCCCCATAGGGTTTCCAAGGAGCAGCTGCTGGATTTGAACTGCTGACTTTTTTGGTTAGCAGCCATAGCTCTTAACCACCGTGCCACCAGGGCTCCAAGTATATAATAGTATGGTTGGAGTGAAGCCAAAGCAAAGATTTAAGGGACGTATGAGAATAACTAAAATTTAGGAAACAGTGTTTTAACCAATTTCATACCAATCTAAAGAAAACAGGGTACCTTACTTCTATCACTGTCTGCTTATTGCTCCAAACCAGTTTTGGTTCTCTAACTTTAATCCCATTGTCTGGAAAAGCTTCCTAGTCTCCATCTAATCAAATTCTACTTACCTTTCAAAACCTCAGCTTCAGCCCCTTCTTACATGAAAGCTCCTGCAATTAACTTATTTAGGAAAGACCACTCCTAACCTAGGAAACCCTGGTGGTGCAGTGGTTAAGTGCTATGGCTGCTAGCCAAAAGGTTGGCAGTTTGAATCCACCAGGCGCAACTTGGAAACTCACTGGGCAGTTCTACTCTGTCCTATAGGGTTTCTATGAATCAGAACTGACTTGGCAGTAGCAAGTTTTACTCTAACCTAGAATTAATTCCTTAATATTAATTGTGTGTGTTGAAGATGGACACTTACTATGTACTGTTTTGTTTTTAATTACCTGTATCCAGCAGGTAAACTGAGGATTTCCTGGGTGGCACAAATGGTGAAGTGCTTGACTACTAGCTGAAAGGTCGGTGGTTTGGACCCAACCAGAGGCAACTTGGAAGAAAGGCCTGGTGATCCTTGCAAACCCTATGGAGTAGTTCTACTCTGAACACACGAGGTCTCATGAGTCAGAACTGACTCAATGACAACTAACTAACAACAACACATAAACTTGCTGGGGACAGAAAAAATGTCTCGGTGCTCTATGAACTTCCTCGCATTTCCCCAGGGCCTATCACAATGTGTGGAACTTTTGTTGTTGTTAGGTGCTGTAGAGTTGATTTTCTACTCATAGCAACACCATGGGATAGAGTAGAAGTGCCCCATATGGTTTTCTTGGCTATAATCTTTACTAAAGCAGATCACCAGGCCTTTCTCCCAAACAGCCTCTGGGTGAGTTTGAACCACCAGCCTTTCAAGTCTAGTCGCCGAGTGCCACCAGAGCTTTTTGTATAGAATATAGTTGGTGCTCAATAAATATTCGTCGTTTGCCTCTCCAACTCACTGATTTTAGAGAAGTCTTGAACTCCTCTATGCATAGAAAATTATTTATTTAACACAGGTCATTACACTCCTACAATACATCAACACAGCTGTAACCCTCACTGTCCAGGAGCTGCTGGTCTAATGGAAAGAGAGGCAGAGAGATGGGTAAGGGCTGAGGGAATAGGGTTGGGAAGCAACTCATTCTGTCTAAGGGAGTCAGGGGAGACTTTAGAAAAGAGGAGATATTTGAACTTGATCTTGAAGCATGCATAGGAGCTTGCCAGGTGAAGGTGGTGGTAAGGATGGCTAGGAGGTGGTAGGGAAGAAGAAGTCAAAGTACAAAGGCACTTTGTACGACATCATGGAAAGGTCAGGGTTTTTTCCCTTAGTAAGTGTCATGAAAATTTAAGATAATTATATTTACATGTAACTTAGAGAAGGCAGCTGGATAAATCCTAACTCTTATTGATGTATTAGTATTTATGATTTAGATTTTTGGCACCGGCAAAGAAGAAAGATGCATTCTAGTTGTTTTTTTTTTTTAGGTGTTCTCTTTTTAGATACCTTTTGATGAATATGGAAATGGTTTAAGAGCTTTGTTTTTGATCATCTATTATGTTTGTTTCCTTTTCACATTGAGCACTGGATCAATAGAAACCCATTTTACATGGTCAAGGTCAGGCTCATTTCCTTACTTATGCAGAGTGGTAACATGCTGTAGTCCTAGTTTTGTTTCTCGGATAGAGAAAACTAATTCTCTCTCGTTCCCTTTCTCTATCTCTCCCTCTTTCTGTGTACACATACATTTTATAAACTTTTTATATTTTATTGAGAAGTTGGGAATTACTTAATAGCAGAGTCTTAACCAATCAACACAACTTAAAGAACAAATGTCCAGTCAACAGCCACTGTTAAAATCAATATTGACAGGACATAAAATAATCTTGTGATAAAATAAATCACTGATGGGGGAAATCTCCTTTTCCCTCTGAGTAACTGATTTGGTTTTGCAAATAAGAGCAAAGAATAAAAGCTAACAGGTATCTGGGATCGGAGAAAAGCAGAATTATGCCAATGCTGCTTTCCACGCTTTCTGGTGCAGGCTGCATTTGGAGCAGCTTCACTGTTGGGGAGGAGGTGAAGGGCTGCGAGTGGGGATTCTCAGCAGAAAATAGGACCACAGGCATGGTTATCTCATTATATAGATCTTCACCTGACAAGCTACTGCTGTTACTCTTTACTGTGGTGATGACTGGTAATCTTAATGAACAAGGGAGGATTTAGAAAAGAGTAAAAGGCCAGTGGTGGAACAATCTTACGCAAGGTTATTTTAATCTTTCACTCAGAGCCATGGTAACAAGTCCAAGAGCAGAGGTCTTTTGAAAGTTTTCAGCAGCTGGCTGGCCTCTCTGATTGGGCTTTAAGGAGACTGGCACTTTAATTTCCAGGAGGAATATTCTGGACCAGTTCTGTAGTCAGGACTGGGTACCATGATTATTGAATAGGGTGTGGGTGTGAGGACGAGGGGAGTCCTACAAGGTCAGACAGAAGTGTCTCTACTGCCACAGCCAGTGACGGCTGATGGTAATGATTAAAGAGTAAATCCTTTTCTCATTCAGAGACTTAGCACCAGGAGATGATACCAAACCAGTTGCTGTTGAGTTGACTACAACTCATGGCTACCCTATGCGTGTCAGAGTAAAACTGCACTTCATAGGGTTTTCCATGGCTGAGTTTCCGGAAGTACATCGCCAGGGCTTTCTTCTGAGGCACCTGTGGGTGAACGTGGACCTCCAATCTTTTGGTTAATAGCTGAGTGTGTTAACCATTTACACCACCCAGGGACTCTGCAAGGAGATGATGCTGGGGCCCTAAGCCTACAGCTGATCTGAGATAGCTGTACAATCACCTAATCATCATGTCAATGTTCCCTTATCTCCGCTATGAAGATCCGCACAGATGAGCTATCATCTGTGCATGCGTGGCTAAGCCCATGTTTCCAAGAGGCAGGAAAAGCAGGCAATAGGAAGGAATACAGCTTAGCTGTTAAAGAAACTTCATTATACACGGGATGAAAGACACCAGTTTGAGAAGAGAGACTGACAAGAAATCTGAGATATATTGAGATTTGAGAGGGAGAGGCCATTTGGATCCCTTTTCTCTGCAGGTTCATGCTGTTGTCTCCACAATGCCTCCTGTTCTGCTCTGATGCAGTGGTGTTTTTTGTTGCTGAGCCACCATACTTCCGACTGCTAGAGAAACCACCACATTGTTTAGCAGTGTTTTAGGGGGACACAGACTAAAACGTGTAACTAGTATCTGAAGACCTAAAGAACACTTGGAGGTGGTTAGCTTCAAGTTAATTAAACTATGGATTTCAAGGACCATGACGAAATGAGTACCTGCAATGTTGATTACGGTAGAGGGAATCGGATGTTCTCTAGCATGAACTTTCCTGAAGACAGGCTGGCCTAGCAAAAGGACAGGTAGAAAATCAGCAGAATGGATAGCATTGGCTTGGTGTCAACGCTTTGTGGAATTAGTAAGCTAAACATCACACCAGATGCACACGTTGCAAGCAGTGTTAGTTTGAGATTTGAGTGGTGTTAGGTCGCCCCTACATAGGTAGCAGGAGTGAACAGAGTGAGCAGAGCTCTGGTGGAAGTCATTGCCCACGGATGGGAGCAAGTGTTCCATGAGCCAAACCAGATAAAGTGAACCACACAGCACATGGCAGGGGTGTGGAGAGACTCCTACAGATGCCTGAAATGGAGTCTCCAGGTCCTTCACGTTACTGCTTTCAGATGCATCATGGAGCAACAGAAAGCACTTGATGTGAAGACAAGAGGCCTGGTCTTGGAGCCTATAGGTGCCAACAATAAAGCCTTGAGCAGGCCATTTCTTCCAATTCTCTCACATGTAAAATGGGGATAATAGCACCTGCTCTATGTCATAAGTTTCTTTGACAGTCAACTGATATGCTATCTGGGAACAAGCCTACTGCATTTATTTCCTGGGCAGCCTGGATGGGAGTGTGCTTTTACACTTGCAGGCTTTGCAAGGGTAAGTCATTGGCATGGCAACTGTCTGGATTCACCAGGCTTAGAGCTTTCACTGAAGTCCTGGCTCAGATGCCTGCCAGTTCCACCTGCTGTTTGCGTCTACAAAAAGCTACCCAAGACGGACCTGGGAATCATGAGACCTGGGACTCACTGCCAACTCTGTCATCTGCTTTTTGTCTAAACTTGCGACTCAGTTTCCTCAACTAAAAAATGAAACTGAACTCAAAGGAGCTTTGTTTCTCTAACCTACGTAGTGGAGTGGCGAAAGTCTTCAACTATTAGAATTTCCATTGTTTGCCTTCCTTAAAAAGCCATTGCATGATAGTTATTTCATGATGAGCATATTAAGACTGGAGGAGTTGAGTATTACATGATTTCATTAACCAGGGAACTGTATAGCTTCATATCTTAGAAGTTTTGGGGATCAAACATGCTTCTCTCATCTCCAATTTGAGGCAGAATAATTAATTGTATTTAAAAAATCCATATTTATGCACTTTAATTTCCCCCTTTTAGGGTCCCCCTCATTTTTCCTTAGACTGGAATTTTTACTGACAGCATTTGTTAGATGTAGCAGGGGTTTGGATAGAGAAATGGTTTAATGTGCAATTTAAAAACACAGGTAGTCACGAGGGGCTGGGGAAAGGAAAGAGGGCAGTGCTGGGATTAGAACAGCCATCACAGCTCTGGACGTGAAGTCAGAGGGTTTCGTTCTGAGTCCTGGGTGGTGGTTTGGGGTAGACTGATTAATCTTTCTGAACCTTCACATCACCTGAAAGGCAAATTATACATTTTGAATCATTTTGTCATTAAATGCTGTATCTGAAGAGAAGAAGTGGAGGGCAGCAGCCCGTGTTACCAAGCTCATTCAGTAACAGGGCTGGGAAGGAAAAAACAAGCAACACAGAATAAGAGACCAGATGAATAATGAAAGTAAGGGGAATATCATTGGAAAGAAATCCATATTCTAAAAGTTTTACTTTGGACAGAATCACTTTGGAACTGATTGTCATGCATTTATACTCACAGTGGTTTAAGTTAACCCCAACTCCTACCGTGCCATTTGCAAAATTAGAATTTTTTGAATTATTTCCTTTCTCAATACTTTTATTCATCTCTCCCATTTAAAAAATAATTAGAATATTGATAGCTGCACAATATATTGGAAAATGTCATGTAGGATGGCCCTTAGAGGCATCTTCATCCTGCAGCTTCAGAGGAATCAGAGCTACCTTTTGATATTTATCTTCTTCTCTAAATCTGCATAGAGGACTCTGAAAATATTTAAGGTCTAAAGAGAGGATGCTGCAGAGGAATAACCTTCCTTCTGTATGCAAGAAGACTGCTTCGGAACTGTGCTATATAATGCAATCAATACAGACCGAGTACCACCCTGAATGTAAATGTTTTAATCTTTTTGACCTACATCTTGAGTTTTTATAGAGCACTTTGTAACCCATGGAGTCAGTGGTTAAGAGCAATGGCTGCTAACCAAAAGGTCGGCAGTTCGAATCCACCAGCTGATCCTTGGAAACCCTATGGGGAAGTTCTACTCTGTCTTTATAGGGTTGGTATGAGTCGGAATTGACTTGACAGCAACAGGTTTAATGGGTTGTAATGCATTTCAAGTGGGAGAAATATTTCTTGTTACCATGTTATTAATGCTAAAACCTAACCCCCCAAAGGGGGGCTCAAACTCGTTGGTAGGACATGGGGGAAGGGACTGTTCTATCCTCTCCCAACACAGCACTATCTATTACTAACAGGATCCTGAGGTTCAGTCGTGTAGCAATCTTGAACGTCAACTCCTACATTTCTTTGAGGCCAGTGAGGAAGAACATTCTACAACTGCAGCTCTTGACATGACTGAAACTTCTGCCTAAGGTCTAGGCTAAATCTCTTTTTATTCTAAGTGACTCCATTTTGGATTTTTAAATGCAGCTTCTGTCATACAATGCAGCTTGTCACTTCTGTAAACCACTGTACTGCTGACCTAGAAACAAGCAATTCTACAGAAAAATTGTGGTCTTGCCCACCCTATTCTGCTTGTCTAAAAGTTCTAAGAAGATAAGTTTGTGGTTAGAAATGGCCAATGTAAAGAGAAGATTATTCAACTAGTACAGGTGTTAAGCACATGACTTTCACGGTTGGCCAATTCTCAAAAATCCGCTTTCTCTCAAAAACTGTTTTTCTAACCTGTGCCTGGGTCCTTACAAAGCCCTGTACTTTTCCATAACCTTGTTCTAATTCCCCTTCTAAGTTCTGTAAATGTCATCAAATCACAAATGTATCCTTCTGCTTGTCTTTTTAAGCCTTTGTAAATGAACAGCTCCTCAGAGCATTTTGTCAAGAGCATCTTGACTCTGTGTTTCCCCGTTTTGAAAAATGCTCTTTTGCCATAATAAACTCTTTGTTTTTAATTTTAAACAGACTTGTAGTTCTTCCACTATGACACCAGCAATGTGTCTTCTTTATTCTGGTACTCTTTGGAGCAACTAGCAGGGCACAATGCACATCACCAGTGTTATACAAACATTTGTAAATTGACCAGTGTCAAAATGGGAACAATTACAGGTTCGCCATACAAATTTGCTTACAAATTAATGCACAACACATGTTATTAATGTGTAAAATGTTAGCTGTGTAAACCAGCAAGAGTACACCAAGTGCCACAACTAAATGTTAATATAGGCTATATGTGATGTGGTTTTTGTTTGACTTTTAAGGGTATTTGGGAAAAATGAGGAACATTTTTTAAAAAAAGTCTTACCATACAGGTATTTCCCTTCATTAATAGGAAATAAAAATAAGAAATAATTGTTTAAAATGCAATAACATGATGATAAAAGACAGTAAAAATAAAATTCAATTGTATTAAACTTTAAAAATTCATACCTGTTATTGTGAAGCCACCTTAAAAAAAAAAGAAAAAGAAATAAATGTTACCATTTATTTAACTTATACTCTAAATAACAAATACCAGTAATATCAGACTGCCTGACCACCCACCCAAGGTATCAAAATTTGCTAAACTATATTTACAATTAAGAAAAATATGAAAACATCTGTTCATGGTGTAATCACTAATCATTCTTTAAGAGTATGGGATTTCATGCACAAGCTTAATTCTTGTGCATACCTAAGAAATCACTGATTTTTTAAGGTTAAGCTAATCTAAAAATGTAATATACATTATCTGCCCTTAACAAAAACAAGGCCCTAAAGTAAAGTCTTGCTAGCAAATCAACAGAGTTAAAAAAAAAGTCAGAAAGCCACTATATCACCTGACAGAAATGGAAAATAACCTAGAAAAATGGAAAGGAAACGCAAGAAATGAAATGCTTACCAAGCTCATTCAATAACAGGGCTGTGAAGGAAACAGACAAAGACAAACACAGAATAAGAGACCAGATGAATAATGAAAGCAAGAGGAATATCAGCAGAAAGAAATCCAGGCAGATGTGATTAGAGTGGTAGGAAGCCACTGCTAAAAATGGGTGCACTACCAGGAAATGTGGCATTGGGAATAGTTCTAAGTAAACAATCCCAACAGAATGTCCTCCAAGTGTGTATGATTGATTATATATATACATATATATATATACATATACATACACACATATTATTTTTTATATTTAGTAAGAGATTTCTACTATATATGTTCATGCACAGTATATATATTTAGTTTACCATATATAGCAGAAATATTTTTTGAAGCCAATCTTGAGATTTATTTGAATGAGTCTTCTTCATTAAATTTGCCTGGGAGTTAGTTGGTCAATCCAATATATGGAAATCTTAAATCAGCCCGGATCTCAGATACCTTACCTTTCATTCAATGAGAACACATAAAATATCCTAGAAAAGTCCATTTTGGCTGCTGTGCCTGGAAGGTGACTTTGGCCCAAGGTTAAGCTCTCTCTGGAGGTTCTATTTTCAAGATTTTTTGACCACTAAGAAATGCTTACTTTTTTTATGTCTTAAAGCTTAAGAGTCCCAGGAACTTGTTTATTTGTGTGTCCTTATCTCTGATTTTCTGCACACTATAATTGGATAACTAAAATGCTTCTAGTATATATGTAATTCCACAAAAACTAACAGGGTGGGGGGGTGGGATGAGGGTAAGAAATGTGTAATTTGCCTTTTGGGTTCTGTGCTTTAAACTCAGGCAGGACTATAGCACTGTATTCTGTGAATGGTACCAGGTTAAATGTATTAAACAAATTGTTTCCCAAGTTGTAGACTGGAATGTTACAATTATGTTTTCAGGCTCAGTTCTCCCTTTAATGTTAGTGGCATTAGAGGATACTGTCAAACAAGTCAGTAGTTTTATTTATAATGACAAGAACCCACTTGGTGGGTGTGAAAACTGGATAGTGCTATCAAGGAATTTTAATTTGTTTTTATATGACAGCATATTTTACTAAAATGACAATTGAAAGAGCTAACTCCAAGATGCTCTTCCTTTAGATAAAAGACAGTTCTTTGGAGCATTACATTTAGAAGTGCTTTTTCTTGTATGTTAATGAGGCATTTTTGATTCCATCTTTGTAAGAAATCAGCACAATTTTCTAAAGTGTCTTTTTCTTTCCATCTACTGCCTATGGAGCATATTAAACAGGTTCCATTAAAATGGCCTCTAGTGCTCCCTTCTCCATCACTCCAAAGGCCCCTCGCACCATTTTGAACATAATTGAGTCAGTGACATTCACAATTTTTTTCTGATGGTCTCTGAGCCTGTTATTTCTCAAAAATGTGGGATTAGTTATATTCCCCCAAATATTGGGTCTACTGCGAATTAGTACTATATTTTTTATCTATTCCCACATGCAAAAGTAAAAACATAAATTTTTGCAAAGTGGTCTGTCCAATAATTTCCTAAACTGCTTCTCACCAATCATTTGCAGGCAATTAATAAGAACTATTAATATGTGGAGTGCTCATTTTACACATATAATTAAATGAACAGGATTTCTACTAAATGACCACTATTAGAGGATAATTATAGAAAGCCCTAGTAAGAACTAAAAAAAAAAAAACTGCAAAGCTGATATAAAATTTCTGTCTTTCCTTATCAAATATGGGCCACCTGAAATAAACTGAAATCAAAGATAGGAAAGTTGTCTTTCCTACTTTCTTTTAAAAAATATTTTTAAACATATGACTCAGGCAAAATGTAGTTATAAGAATATTGCTCTTTATTTTTTCTTTTTATGTTACACTTAAAAAAATTATCACATCTAAAAGGATCATATGATCAAAAGATTTAGGAGCTTAAGGCTGGATAAGGCCTTAAACAAGAGCTAAATTCTCACTGAAGGATCATATCCTTCTTATTTAAAAAAAATTGATTTGACTATAGTTAAATATTTATGGGATCTTTTAAATGTCATATTTGATGACATGAAAATACTATGTCAAAATAAACATTAGAATATCAATAACACTACTCTTTAAGAATCTTTACTTTTATTAAATTTTATTATTATTTTTTTAATCTGAGTTCCCTAAACCCATCTAAGGAAGCCTAATTATGTAATTCTTCTGAAATTTCCTATTAGTTGCTATTAGATTCATCTATAACTCATAATAGGTATTATGTAGTCTTTACCACTTCCGTTTTAGGGAAGATCTGGTGATTGAAACCAAATTTTAAAATGACGCTTAAGTAGTGAAAAACTAAACACAGAAACCATTCTTTTATATCATCTCCTTTAAACTGTAGAAATATCTTCCAGCATTTATTAAATCTGGTTGCAATCAAGGTTAGTTTGCATTTCCTGAAGGAAATGGGCGTTGCTCGGTGCACTTGTAAGTTAGGGAAGGGAAATGAAACTACTAAAGCTTCAAAGGAAATGAAGTATAGTTCTTGGAAGCCGAGGAAGAGGAGAGAGTTAAGTGTGAGAGTAAGGAGACACGGAGAGAGAAGAGTACAATTTCTCGCTGGTATGTCTTTGTATACTCTCACACCTTTCATTCCTCTTCTTATCCATTTTGGTTCCTCAAGCACAAGGGAGAAACTGCACTCTTTCTCATATTCCTCATGGTCAAATATTCTAATGGTAATGATCTTCCTGTGGGAACACAAGACAAAGGGAAAACAAATGGTTGGAGTCACACGCTCATGCTCTTGGTGTCCATCAAGGTGAATGTTATTGTGATATTATGGAGGAAGAACTGGCAGCACATGAACCTCCTGAAGTATGTAAAAGGGCATCTTAGGTAATGTCAGCTGGCCCCATTAAGTTTTTTGCTAATTCATCACTTTCACAAATTGTTCCTGCATCAATCAGAAGTGGGGAGGTACCCCATATTAGGAAGAAAATCAGAAAGTTGATTTCATTTTGCAATCCCATAGTATCTGCACCAACTTTCCCAGACAGGGAGGCCTGATTGACTGCAGTGAAGATTAACATCTCAGATTTGTAATGTGCAGAGTGGCCAAACTTGGATGATGTAGTTACAGACCCAGCCCACTGGGGCCCAGGGAGAGATCTATGCCCTGTTACATAGGTGGAGGGATGTGTGCATTGTAAGTCATGTTCTGAAGAGTGCGGGCATCCAGGGGTGGCACAGGCCAGCAGAAGCTGTTGGGCTCAGCCCTGGAGCAGCTCCCCCACCTTTCTTCTCACTCATCTCCACCAGGCGGGGTTCTCCAATCTCAAGGAAGAAGGTCTTGTTTTTCTCATACTCCTCATCATCAATTACCTTGACTGATATTGTTTTGCTGAAACAGAGAAGAATAGAGATTGACGAACAAGGGAAAGCAGAAAGAGAAGAGAAGAAACATAGAAAAGAGGAAAGCAAGGTTAACGAGCTGCACTTCCAGACAAAGGACAACTGAGAAATTTCTGTACTGTAAGTCTTTTCTTCAAGAATGATCTGAAAGCAGAGGAGAGCTCCACTGCCCAGAACCAGTGAATTATTTGGGGCAAAATATAGCACTCAGTCCAGATAGGTTTGTCGTCATGACGGGAAGGAAAATCAGATAAACAGAGATTACAATAAGAAAAGAAAAATATATTTAGTAATTGACCTAACAGCAAGATTGTCCATGCTGTGCCCTGGAATTCATTCCCCTGGGGGGAAAAATTAATACATCATTTTAAAATATTAACAGAGGTTATCTCTCACAGATTGGGTTATGGGTCGTTTTTTATTTCCTTCTTTGTGCTTTACTGTATTTCCAAAAGTAATATTTTTATCACAAAAATGTATTCAGATAATAAATGTATAAAAGCATTACAAAAGCAAATATAAGATCTTTCATCTTCTCCCATCTAGTGTCTTCGAATCAAACTCTTATTCAGCTCAATCAGATTTTCCACCTAGACCACAAGGGGAAGTTTTGTTTGCCTTTCTAAAGATGGAGGCTGTGACCTCACAATAGCTGTTTTCAAAGTGAGGAGGGAGGATGGGGGAGTCATGATGCTGAAGTTACTTTCATTCCTCTCAATGTTCAGAATCAACTTTGACTAAATATGCCAATTACACTACTATCGAACTCTACGAATATACCGAGCCAGTTCAACAAGAGAATTCTTCCTCTAATCCAGCCTTAGCGCTTCTTGCCCTAAGACCCTATGGCTGTGAGTGACTGACAGGCAGGTAAGACAAATACAAATACTATGAAAATCTCAACTCCCTGTAAGCATCCTTTATATCTCTGAAAATAAATCTAACGTTACCTTCTAATTAATAAGGGCTTAAACATTTCATGTATTACAACTTACTAAGAGCCCCTTAAAATACTTATTTGTCCTTGAAAATATTTTTTCAGTAATTCTGGCCAGGAATACATCTGACTCAAGTTTTTGAAAAAATGATTGTGCATAGACACAAAAGTTTTAATGGTATGCCATTCTTTAGTTTTGGTGGAATTTTCTAGGTCCTCTGGAAGGAACTTGATTTAAATTTTTTTTTTTAAATGATCAAAGCCATCAAGTGTCATTTAGACCTATGCACACCAGTGGACGTCAGTCTTTCCAAGAATGAAGGTGGAAGGTGGCTGTAGGTAGAAGCTGCTTTCAATTCTCTGAATTTCCCAGCTCCCAAGGTCAAAAGCTTTACTCCTGCTTTCTTGATTTAGCATTGTGGAAGTGAGATCAAATGAGTCCTCTGGGGCCCCATAACCCTACTCTGCTCCTCAGCTAAAGAACATCCCTGCATGGTGCCCACATCCCAATTTCTCACTACTATGCAACTGGAGTTCATGGGAGTGCCTTTTCTATCTTAGCTCTGTCCTCAAAGACTGAAACATCAAGGCTAGATGAGCGGCTGTAAATGACTAAAGCAACAATCATTTTTTTATTTATACAACTATCACCCATGTCACAAATTCAACTACATGTATAAAATAAACAGTCCCTGCCTAATTTCTGGAGTCCTGGTGGTACAGTGGTTAAGAGCTATGGCTGCAAACAAAAAGGTTGGCATCTCGAATCTACCAGTTGCTCCTTGGAAACCCTATGGAGCAGTTCTACTCTGTCCTATAGGATCGCTATGAGTCGAACTACCTTATGGAATTCACCTATTTATCTGGTATTAAAAAAAAAAAAAAATCAGCCTGCTCTGACTAAATCAGGATATCTAACCATTCCTTAATACCCGAAAACATACCAAATATTAGAGAAAGCACAAGAGGATGCAAGGAATAATGAGATGTATACTTTCCATTTCAGAATCAAAAATTCACTTCACAAAAATCTATTAATGTCTATCCTCTTTGTCATAAAAACTTGTATATTTTAGGTACTATTTTCTGTCTTATACTCTTGCAATCTTAAAGTATAGTTGTGTTTAGTATCTTTACCAAAGCAATCAGCAAATTGAGACCAAGCATGGGAAAGTGTTGATGGGCTAAGACTACTGCCCTCTGGGCCTGAAGGCCCAACATTCATCATTAAGGTTACTGCACAGTAGGGAACATCAAACCACAATCCCTTCCCACCCCCCACTGCAAGACCTCCACAATGCTCTTGCTTGCACTTTTTATTTTATTTTATTTTTTCCCATACAAAAATTTATACATACACTGTTATGTGACTCTAATTGCTCTCCCCATACTGTAACAGCACAGTCCTCCTTTCCACCTCTGATTCCCCATGTCTTGCTTGCACTTGTTAAAAACATTTCAGTTATTTGTCTCCATTTTGCACTTTCAACCCAATCTACCATCTCATCACATATTTTATTGGATCATATAAATAAAAAAGGTACATTGGAGATGGTCAAAGTAGGCTTGCTAATGGGGTCAGTGTTTGTTTAGGAAAGGCTAACAGCTTCATACACAAAGGGCAACATAACTTATGCAAATAGACAGAAACAACCAAACAATATCTTGTTTGTTATCCTTGGTGAATAGCATATAATTTAATCCTCTGTTATTGTAATAGCTTTTCTTTCAATATTCTGAGTAGCTGATGAATGTCAGGAGTATATTTATATGGCCCCACACAATTTGTTTGTCCAATAAAATAAGCATTTATAATTTTTTTATCATTACAGTATCAATATCCCCTAGGTCATAATCATTAGAAAATAATATTTCAGTATTTGATAACTACAGTATCGGAAAAATCATAGATAAAGGAAAACAAAATGGTACCGCTGTTGGTATCTGGCAAAAACATCTAAAATAGATGGAATTTGCATAATGGCATATCATTTCAAAATCATTAGAAATAGAATCAATAGCGCCCCTGACAGGAGGGGCCATTAAATTACGTATTGATTTTGCTCCTCTTGCATAGTAAAGCTATTAACAGGAAACTCGATTCTTGAAGGATACTTCAGTCGATCTAAAGTGGCAGGATAGAGTCATTCCTTATGAATTAGCCCTCTAAATCAAGAGAGAGAAAATCAGAAGAGATTGGTGATATTCATCTTTTGCTTTAGGATGGGAATATTGCTCCCTCTAGCAAAGGTAGCAATGGTGAAACGGACCAATGTAATTTTTAAAGGAACATGTTCTTGGGATGTCTTCTGTTCACTTTCTAGAGCCTAATGTACAAAAGAGATCGTCACCACTTTGTTCATCACAATGTATATTGTATGAGTTGGGGTGGGTTTGGTGAAGACTCTAGTCTTGATAATCTAGCTTGATAATCAGCAGAAGACTGCCTTTGTTCCTCACAGTTCTGCAGGGGAAATAGAATCTCAAGGACTAAAGTAACTGTATGTTGTTGTTGTTAATTACCATGGAGTTGATTTCAACTGGTGGCAACCCCATGTGTGCAGATTAGAAATGCTCCATAGGGTTTTCAAGGCTGTAATCTTTTGGAAGCAGATCACCAGGCTGGTCTTCTGGGGCACCTCTGGGTAGGTGTGAACCACCAACCTTTAGGTTAGTAGCCCAGCTCCTAATCATTTGTGCCACCCAGGGACTCCTAAGTAACCTTAAAGGTCCCCATATCTGCCCCTCGACCAATCCCAGTCTCAAAAGGCTTTTGCTCTGTCATAAGCACTCTCTCCTTCTGAGAACGCTGATTCATGTTGGCTATTATTTGGCACCGCTTAACCAATGGGAAGCAATCAGATATCCGTTGTTATTTCTTTAAATTGACAGGCTAACAAAAACAAGACTGGAACAGTGAGGTGGACATAGTCTTTCATCCAAATACAACTCTTACATTATTACTGTATTGCTAAGGAACAAGTAGAAAAATAAGTGTCTTGTAACAGTCAACTATCATAATCATTTTGAGGATAAGAACTTCTCACTTGATATTTTACATCTCTCTAAAGTTGAACAGGCTACTATATAAATTGATTGTGTTTTCTGGAAATTAGCAAAGCACATACAAATCTCATGATAACACTAGGCTATTTCTTTGTACGGCCAGTTTTTTTTTTTTTTAATGGAAGTGCATTTTGGTTCCATTTTTACAAGAAAAGCATTTGGTTAAGAAAGATCAACTTATTCAGTGGAAAAATACGGGTCCTTTTTTTTTTTTAATCTTTGTGGCACCATTCATTTGATGATCCCAAACCAACAACTATCATTTACTTCTCAGCTCCTCTCTCTTGTCTGAGGGGTCTCAAAGGCACTGCAAACCTTCAAACAAACTAACAAGGAGTCCTTATACCTGGTGATGACTTAGGGAGACAGTAAAAAAGGACGTGAAAGAGGTGGCTTTATTAGTGGGAGCTAAAAAAGAAAATCTTTTCAAAATATATTTTAGTCCCTCATCATTAAGCCAAAGTAGTATCACAGTCTCTTCTTCAATTTAAGCCCCAATTTGCCCTTCTGGGGTTTCTTTTCCCCAAGGCTGCCCTTGATGTTGGCAGGAGAAAAAGATGAGTTGGAGGATTAGACAGAAGGGACTCATCTTTTCTAAACCCTCACACAAAAGATTTTAGTGATGACCTTAAACATTTAGCTGCTGCCATGGCTGTTAAAAAAAAAAAAAGAAAAAAGTTTACCCTATCTTTAAGCATATCTCAGAGGCCAATGGAATGAGTGTGAATTCTTCTGCCTGCTTTAGGAAAACGTATCAGGAGAAAACTCAGCCACGAGTCAATCCTTTCTGGATATTTTCTTCTAAGACATGAGCTGTCTACATACTTCCCCTAGACTCTTTTTAAACTATAAAAAGATAAGCACAGTTATTAATTAAATATTTAGTAATTAATATTTTTAGGGCTACCACATAATTTTTAGTCTGTTAAAATTAGCTACTACTTGTTGAAATGTGTGCCAGGCACTGAGGTGGAAGCTTTGCACTT